GTAGATAAGAATTCACTGTTTGTGATGAAAAATATCACGCTACAGTCAACTCAGTATAGCTAGAGCTGTGAAAAGTTCGATGACATCAAACACGCTGGCAACAGGAAGTGACGCAACACGCTTACCGTCCCTGCCCGTCACTCATTATGTATATTGTGTTTTATTTATGCTGGGCCATTTAGTAAGCAAGTCCAACACTGGTAACCATTTCTGTTTCTCCTCCCAGGAACCAAGAGAAATCGATGGCGTCTCAATCGGTCACTTCCTGTTGGGAAGTTGTGAATCCCAACTGGTCAGTGGAAGCGGCTACACTTGAATCGAACCTGCCACAGCGAGGTGGTCGTGCCAACAATCACGCAAACGATACAAATGGACAGAGGATCAGAGCCGCCCTCACAGATTACCTGAGTGCAAACTTCCCCCTGCGCAGACCATACCTTTAGACGTCTTCATTACATAACTGCCAGTTTGTCATTACAATTCTTGTACAGTTCATGTGTGTTTCAATCCACAAATAAAGTTTAAATAAAGTTTTAGTTAAGTGTTTTATTTATAAGAAATATTAAGAAAAGTAAAACAAGGTATAAGAGCACACAATAAAAACAAGGTATAAAAGCACACAAGTATAAAAGGTAAAACCTTGAATGTCACAAAAAAAAAAAATGTATATATATAAATTCTGATTGTGTATGTGTGTATATACACACACACACACACACACACACACACACACACACACACACACACACACACACACACACTGAGGTAGAGTGTAGAAATTGTGCTGTATGAACGGTACGATGCTTTTCAGGCGGTAGTGCAAATAAGTAAGGCATCCATAACCATAATACGCATCTTGCGGTGGTTGATGTTGTGGTGGTGGTGAGAATGTGTTTGGTTGAGGTTGAATGTTATCCATTCTCTGCATCAGCTTCTCAACCATACTGTCAGTGCGGAGGATGCTGGCGATCAACCGTTCCTCCCGGGCCTCACTTCTTGCCATGTCCTCCGTCCATTGATGAGTCATGACTTGCATCTGGTTCACCAGCACATCGACGTCTCTCATTCGCCTTGTTTGCTGGGTCCTTGTTCCTTTAAGAAATGGCAGGTATAAAGTCAGTTGTATCCCTACCGATTCGGCATGTGTTAGTAACCACCTTTACATCAGCTGTTTGTTAGACTACACAGGATGAGTGAAAGCATGGCATGAAGATTCTTTGTGATGCCCATATGTTGATGCAGTTATAATATTGCAGAACTTACCAGGTAGATCATCGGTAATTGTAGCACGCAGTGGAGTAGAAGGTGGTGGAGTTGACCTAGGTGAGGAGGTTCCAGATGAGCCTCCGAGCAGCGTCTCTTCCGGGTCCATTGTAGTATCTATAAGATGGTACAGCACAAATAATAATAAAACGTTATTTATATAGCACCTTTCATGCAAAAGAATGCAGCTCAAAGTGCTTTACAGCAAATACGTGCGTAATAACGTGCACGAAGAAATTACATTCACATAAAAATAGACAAAGAAACATAAAAACTCAACTATAGTGCCAAAACAAATATAGAAAGTACAGTTAATGTAAACTTTATTACATTTGTAACTAGCTTTCATTCTAAATTGAATTCCTTGCAAGTTAGTGGGAAGGTCTACACGTTTCTCAAAGACTAAGGGCTAGCTAGCAAGTGGCACCCATGTTAGCTTCGAAAGTTACGGTTATCAAGTGGGACCCAGGTTAGCCTTACGTTTTATGATTGTACATTGTTTTCATCGTCGATTTAATTCCTCGCAAGTCATGGGAAGGTACACATGTTTCAACACATATTAGCACTGCTAAGACATCTCACAGCATCAGCTAACATCTGGTATCTAGCACTTGTTTTAGTGTGATGCAACTGAAATTAACTTACCCATTGTAGTTGGCAACCGAACACCCGAATCTACGCCGTTGTGCTCTACTAGGGACTCTTGTGTTGTCCATAGCGTTGTTTGTTTGTTTTCTGCCGGCCAGGCTCCCAGCAGTCTCTTTCGACTTCCGGGTCACGATCTGGGAGACGCAAAGTCCAGTTCCTTATCCGATTCACCGTTACATCCCGCGATAGTCGAACTATCAACTGGATCGGATCGAGTTATCCAGGGGTGTTAATCGGATCGCACATAGTCGGACAAAGGTGTTTACATGAATGGATTATTCAATTTCAGTCCGACTAAGCCAGTTATTCGAATCCATGTAACCATGCTGATAGATGAAGAGGCGTGAGCACCTGATCGGCTGGGGGAGGGAGGGTTGGGGGACTGCAGCAGGTTGGTGGAGCTGTGGAGGATGGGATCAGGACATTGTCTTTCGAATCTGCAGTAGAACTCATTCAGTTCGTCTGCCAGGCGGAGGTCATTCATGGAGTGGGGGGTTTTTGGCTTGTAGTTTGTGAGGTGTTTGAGGCCTCTCCAAACCGAAGCAGAGTCACTTGCTGAGAACTGTTGTTGGAGTTTCTCAGAGTACAGTCGTTTAGCATCTCTCACCGCCTTGCTAAACTTGTATTTTGACTCTGTGTACAAGTCTTTGTCCCCACTCCCAAATGCCTGATCCTTCTGCACGCCTAGTGTTCTGAGTTCCGCTGTGAACCAGGGTTTGTCGTTGTTGTAACTCACCCTGGTGCATGATGGTACACAGCTGTCCTCACAGAAGCCGATGTAGGAAGTTACAGCCTCTGTGAACTCATCCAGACTGTCAGTAGCCGTCCTGAAAACATCCCAGTCTGTGCAGTCAAAGCACGCCCGAAGATCCTTCAGCGCCTCACTGGTCCACTTCTTAAATTCCCTCACCACAGGTTTGCAGAGCTTTAGTTTCTGCCTGTATGCAGGAATCAGATGGACCATGACGTGGTCAGAGTGTCCCAGTGCAGCACGAGGGACGGCGTGATAACCCCTGCTTACTGTGGTGTAACAGTGATCCAGCGTGTTCTCCTCTCTGGTGGGGCATTTAATAAACTGTCTGTATTTAGGAAGTTCATGGGTGAGATTACCTTTGTTAAAGTCCCCGAGGACAATAACTAAAGAGTCCGGGTTGGTCCGCTCCACACGCCGTATCTGGTCGGCGAGTGTCCGCTGTGCCTCGTGCACGTTGCCCGGCGGCGGCATGTAAACACCGACCAGGATGAATGAAGCGAACTCACGGGGGGAATACAATGGTTTCCAGATCAGGAGAACAGTGTTGTAGGATCACCGTTACGTTGTTGCACCAGCTGTTGTTGAAGTAGAAGCAGATTCCTCCACCCTTTGTCTTGCCGGAGAGCTCCGTTTCACGGTCCGCTCGGAGCAGCTGGAAGCCCACCAGCTGGAGCGCACAAGTCGGTATCGATCCGCAGAGCCACGTCTCCGTGAAGCACAAAACGGAGGATGTAGAAAACTCTCTCTCCTCACCAGCAGCTGAATTTCGTCCAGTTTGTTGTACAGTGAGCGCACGTTGGAGAGAAAGACGCCTGGCAGCGGAGTGCGAGAACCACGCTTGCGGAGTCTCACCAGCGAGCCGGCCCGTTTTCCTCGCCTACAGCGCCTGTTCAAGAGCTCATCTCTGGTGAAAGAGCTCTGGGAATCGCAGCAGAAACAACAAAAAACGAAGCGCACCGAAGCACCGTGGCAGCCATCAACGGCGCCATCTGCATAAGTATGCAGTGCCATGAATACATCTCTGCACAGGGTGGGGATTTCAACATGCAGCATTTCTTAAAGTATATTTGTGAAGGGAATTCTTATCTTAAATCTTAAAAACAATCATCAGGAGAGGGAGAAAGAGAGTCAAATGATGTGGTAATAAAACACTGTGTGAAGGTGTAATCCTTGTGTAACAGGTGGAACCAACCAGGAAAAAGTTACATTTAATATGTGATTTAATTTGAATTTAGAACAATTATTTCAAATAACCATACTTGAAATAGAGACACCTGTCCTACTCACCGGTGAGTTTCTTCTACTGAGAGGGGCATATTAACCAGAACACAAAATACCAATGCCCCGTGTCGACACACACTTAACCTACTGTGGGTAACGACACTAACAACATATATGCTTGAATGCGATAAACTCCAGATCAAGCTTAACACTCTAAACACACTAAATAAATGCAAAAAACATACAATTAAATTGTTTGTAAACCCATAACCAAAATGTCATTGCATATGATAAACATATTCCACAGTTGAAGTTCACCGTTTTCACATTCAGTTCAAAATGGTCGAGCCACGGTCCTCCACGTGTATTGAACTGTTCCCAAAAACATTACCGTCCCGGACACGTTGCTGCTCGTTGACGACGTGGAGTCATGTGTGGCAGGGTATTACTCACAAACCACCGTCGGTCAGTGGCGGGGGAGAGGGGGGGGGAAGAGGGCAGGTGAGCTGCGGGCACGCCGAGGACTGTAGTGGCGAGACGGCGGACTGTCCTTGTTCGCTGGCGACGAACTAACAACGTAACCGAACTTTACGAGCTAGCGAGGACATTAGCCTCAGGCTACAACGAGCTACACTTCTTCAGGTCTAACGGATGATCTTCAGAGCTGGAGGTGTAGACTCCTCCTTCCTCCACTTGGCCGCTCCGACCGGGCGCCGCCATCCTCTTCTCCGTCGTTCCTCGTCTTCTCCTTGTCCCGCCCCCTCCACTCTCTCCATTCGCCAGCGCACCAACTTTTCAGTCACTGATTGGCTGGACCTGTGGTCAAGTTCTGTGGTGCTATTGGGTGTGGAACTTAGGATTGATGTCCCAAAGTAATTGCAAGGGCTGCATATAAATAAATATGTCCACACTCTGGGTGTACCCCTACACTTGGTAGTGAAGATGGGTTTAATAATGCACATAGAACAAATCTTGGTGAGTCGACAATGATTATATTTATTTGACTAAAAGCAGATCAAGAATTAGCATTGCTGTTTCGCCCTCCTCTAAAGAGAGGATACCGTAACTCGCCGTCACACGTAAGCTGGCCAAAAGGTGGGTGAGGTGAAAAAATTGCGCTAACAAAAGAATTTCAGTGTTGTGTGTCACACAGTCTGCAGAGGTGACGTGCTTGTCGGTGAACGTCTTTTCCTCTCTTCTGTGGGTCACAGGGTGGTAGCATATTGCGGAAAGTGTTTTCGTCTCCGAGGTCTTCTCCTGACAGCAATTGTTGTGTGCATGCACCCTCGGTTTACAGCTTACCTTTATGCTGTTGCAGTGAGCCGGGGCATCAAAGTGAGGAGGGAAAAGTGGAAGGGAGACATGAAAAAAAGAGGTGTTAAATATACCAATAATTTATTTATAAAGCAATGGAACTAACTTGATTCAGTTCATTTAGTTTGTTGAATTGGTTCTTTTCAGTGAACTCTAGAAAATAAAGTGTGAGGATGTTCACAGAATACGTTGTTTACATTTTAGAACTAAACTTACCACAGCCCATGTTTTTCTTCCAGTCACCAATTACAACACCAACACCGGCGCAGGCTTTGGCGTAGCTGGCAAGACCAATACACAAGGCCTCTTTCTGACTCCTGCCAGAGTTACATATTCTTTGGATGCAAGCCTGTAAAAAAAGTAATTAATATGTTATTTTGTTAAACTCCCAAACTTATAAAGGATTTGGTATGGGGCAAAACGCTTGTTACCTCATAGTAGTAATCAGTTGGGATATGAGGGTGGCCCTGGGCAAATACCCCAGTTGGTTGGTTCAACACTGCACACTTTTCATGAGCATAATTCTCTACAAAAATACATATTGAAATCATTAATGCATTTTTTACCTTTGGTTTGCATGTTGGTATCATATCACAAGCAAGCTAGAGAACAAATTTCAATGTTTTAAAACCAAAGTCTTAATAATAATAATTTGTATAATTTTCTAAATTACTTCTCAACCCTGATTGGTAGACAAATCAAATATTGAGTGTGACTTTATACACACGCACTCGTGTGTATAAAGTCACACTCAATATTTGATTTGTGCCCCTTATAAAAGGTGCCATATAGGAAAAGGCCCCTTGCTGGGCCTCTGGTACTGCTACGCACCCGATTCTGCGCTTCATTTTCCTGGGTAATAATCCAAGTGCTAGGATAAGTAGCAATGGCACAGTAAACACAACCTACTGTGTAAATATGCACTACCCATGAATATATCCCCTTATCTTGAAACTGGATTTGATGCCATCCTCAAAATCATGCAAGTGTTCTGTCAATCGGATGAGTAGTTCAGATGAGAGAGAATCTCAAACATATTTCAAATATATTTATATTATTAATTCGTACCATATTCACGTTTGGTGCAGTTGGTGTGTATGTTCCCTTGACAATTCCCCAAACTCCAGGAGAGAGCAAATGGTTCAGCTGAGTTCTCAATGATCCTGCTCTTGGTGATGAAGTCATCTGTGGTGTTATTGTTGCTATTGCCACAAAGACCTAAAAGACATAGTCTATGATTACAAATCATACTGGATCACGTCACAGAAAACATTTTAGTTTATTAATTAAATGCTAATTCATAATGATAATGAATGAAATATGAAATATATTCCCTTCAAGTAAATCTTGAAGGGAATATATTTTGGCCTGTCTTTAGACTATGGTCTGCACCTTCAATCTTGTAGTTGGAGTTGTCGGGTGCGTCGATGAACAGCTGGATTTCAGGGGACAGCTGAATTTGAAAAAAAAACCCAGAGGTTGTGTGGACCTGGAGGAACGTGGAGGACACCCAGTAAATCTTAGCATTACCTGCAGGGAGATAATTCAGTTCAATTCAATTAATGGGTGGCCGTGTAAATTAGCCATGATGAATGGATTGCTAGGCAACAAGACGTACTACACATTTAAAATTAATTGCAGCCAAATAATGTAATTAACTATATTTCCTCACAATTTTCTTGGAACTGATGGAATTTAGTGATCTCCTGCCCATTCCACAAAACCTTGTTCTCTTTGAATACAAACAGTTCCTGCAAAAAAAATGTTTATATTCCATGACACCACAGTACTCTTGAATTACATGGGTTTGAAAGATTGTGTTATTTTAAATTAATTCCTCAAGACTGCTTGTACCTCAGAGAACCGGACCACAACCTTTCTAAGATAGAGTCCTTTTCGTGAAAAATGTATTCTTATTCTCCAGTTGGGACCCTTTAAAGTAAAAGGGTGGTTAGTATAATGAAAAGAATATATAAGATAAGAATGTATTCTGTGTCTGTTACATGATGGGGAATTGGCAAAGATTACCTTTGAAGCCACATATGAACATTTTTGAGGGAGGACATGTTGTTTTCCATCGAATGTTGTCACAAACGGGCCTTCAATGACACATCTTCTGCGGCAAAAGTTCTCTGAGCATCGCCATACCACACCATGACACGTACTGTGTGAAAATAGAACCTAAATTAAAAACTTACAATAGATCATGTTATTGAACTTAAAAAGCGGTAAGGCAACTGTTTATCTGCCCATATTTTGCTAGGGACCATCTTGTGTCTCTGAAATTGAAAGTTTGAAGTATATTACCATGAGTGACACTTGGAACGTCGTATTTCTCCGTTTCTGTAACTCTTGCCAGCAAACTCACAAGAGCAGTTGGACCAAGGAATACAGCGATAGCCCTTTGCACCATTATTCAAAACGTTACCTAAAATACAAATAACACCATGTCATTAGGCTCATTGAGACTAAACAAGCTATGAAACTTTTAGAGAGCTACATCATAAAGACATATCGTGCTCTTTCACCCTCTGGACAGGCACAGCTTTCAGTGAGTTCCTGGTAGAAGGGTGGAGGTTTCGGGTTGGAGCAGCTGGGAATAACTGCTGGACCCTTTTCCCTATAAATCAGGTCTCCTGGACACCTCGGTTCTGCTGCATTAAACCACAGAAAATGGGCAATAACTTAATGTTTTCTTCTCCAATGAGTGTCCTATAATATCAATGATTTTTTTGTTTTTTTGTTTTTTTGAAGAGTGCTTACCACATTTGGTTAAATCCCTCCAAAATCGGTTGATTCTTGATTGGTTACACTGGCTTGCAAATTCTTTGAAGAAAGGACAGAAGACGCTCTGGCTGTTTTCAAAGCCAAAAATGTTCTCTTCACAGAGTTGCTGATAGTGAGAATTGTTGTATCGCACACAGTCCTTGATTTCTTGAAAGAATTGACGGCATATCTGCAAACATGAGGAAACCACTTGAATATCTGGAACTAGGACACATACTATGGATTGTTCACTTATTTTGTGAGTCTCAATCTTAAAAAATAAACCTTCCACCAATGATGTAGAAAAGAACAGAAGAAAATGCAGATTATCCGGCTGCTGTGTTTATGTTTGTAGTTATGTAGTGAAATCATTACTGATCTTAATATTATTTCTTATTTTTTCATGGGTTTATTTTCCACCTGCTATGTCTATGTATTCTATTGTGTTTTATTTTTCTTATTTTACTTAAGCGTCCTCTTTTTCCTATGAGTCCCCAATTAATTAATAAAAGTCAGTACCGTGAGATCAATGAGTGAAAAAAAAGATGAAAGTAGGTAGAAAAGAGCCTTACCAATAGCATACTGCAATCTAATATCACAGCGTAAACCTGGCTGTGTTTGAAATAAGTTAATCATTACAACTGTTAACTTACATCGTTTTTTTGCAATACAGGACTGCTGGTTTTACATTTGTGGTCATGGAGCTTGCTGTCTCTGATCAACTTGTCCCTGTGGCCTGATGTCATGAAAAATATACATTGTTAAACCAAACTGGATGCAAACAAAGGTTTGACTATTCAAATCACTTTCACCACCACCAAAAGAAATGATTGCAGCTGCTACTGGAAGTACTGCTGTCAATGCTACGACTGCTATATTACAACAATCAATGTCTCACTTCCAGTCAGTGAATAATACCTGCAACGTTTTCCACGTGTTCCAATTAACTTAAGTCATTGATTATGCCTGCATGCATTTGTCTTACTGTGATTTTGCTCTTAAAAGTGTGTTAAGCCGACAGTATAACGCCAACTTACCCACAGAGAGTTTATTCCCCCACATACACTGTGCCAGGTGACACTAAAAGGAAGCAGCGAGCTCTTCAGTCTAGTGTAGATGCCGTATTTAAAGATTTGCTGGTATTTTTGGTCGCATGGATCGGAAACACTATCAAGACATAAACATCGACTGTTATTAAATACTAGGGGTAGTAGTGAAGTACAAGTACTACATTGCAATAAAATCTGCAATAAAAATGGCATTTAAGTAAAAGTATGTCAGTACTATGAAGTTTGAAACGTAAACAATGCAGAACAATCCAATCTATGTAATGTATCACAACTTTTTTTTTTAAAGACCAATGTCCCTATTTGAGCTAGAGTCGGAGTGGAATGTCCTCAGCTAATCAACATGCTACTCTTATTTCCAAATGCTGTGTGTCCAAAAATGTCCACAAACTAGGAACTGAAGTTTTCAAATAACTGTAGTTGTGTAAAATGTGCATATTTGCTAGATGATGAGTAGTAGAGGAAGTACGCCAATAGTTGAAAAAATGTACCAAGTAACAATGGACCATTGGAAAACAATACAGAAAATGGGTTCTAACATCAAATACATTAAAGGTCTTTTTACAAATTATGACTACCATTTGACATTAAAAAAAGGCTTGCTTTTACTTTGGATAGTTTTTCTTACTCAACTTTTTTTTTTAATTAAAGACCGAATGGGTGAACTATTACAGTTTCCACCTCTCTGAAATAAGTCCCTAAGTGATAACTTGGTAACAGCTTGACTTGGTGTGTTAACTCAGTATGTTTTCATTTAACAAAATTGACTTTTTTTGCATTAGTCTTTACTTGGTGTTCAGTGTGGCTGCAGTTTTCTGCTTGGGCTCAAACCTTTTGTTCTTCACCACAACGTTGCCATCCTGCAAAAGTGTTGTGACTTTGTTGACGATGATCTCGACTTGGACCAACAGCCCGTTGGGACCTCGCCGTATGGTGACAGAATATTCCCCCTGGTTGACGTTGAAGCTTGTGAGTGTGAACGGGCAGTCAGACCGAACATAATAACTCTCCCCCTGAAAAGGCTGGACGATCCCGCTGCCAAATGTCCTGCAAGTGTCTGATCACAATTCAACAATTTATGTTAAACAATAGGGACAAATGTGGATCAGAAATGAAGAAATAAGTAAATTAAATTACTTTGTAATGTGGAATTTAGATTTTAATGTTAGGGTCAAGGTGTGCTCGATTTTCCTTACCTAGTGTAAGGAAAACTATCATTGAATGAAAAGGATTTTTAAGAGTGTCTTTTCAACTCAATAAGCCAAATGCTCAACTCTAATTCTAAACAACAATTGTGTTTATCTTCCATGTACACAATCCTACACATTGCAACAGCCAGTGGAATTTGTTTGGTTTGTTTTGCAAAAAGCAAACAGCAAAAATGTGATCACAAAAGGAACAGTAAGACAAACAGCCAAATAATGAAACTGCATATGTTTCAGAAAACCTGAAACAATCTAGCCAGTACCTACGATAATAATGTAAAAAAGTAATCTGGGTAGTGAAAATGATAAATATCACACATTGATTGGTTTGTACTCACAAGTCTGAGTTTCTTTGGTCTTTAACAATTCCACTGTGCCAAAAACTAGAAGAAAAATACAGTGTCATTATGCAAGTAAACATTAATTATCATAGAAATTTCTAAATAAAAAAAAATTCTTACTGTTTTACCAGTAAAGTATTTATATGTGTAAGCAGCAACTACAAATCGCAGCTACCTCTATTTTAGATGACCAAAAGTTCAAATGTTCATAATTGGAAGAAATTGCTTTTGTCAGTGTCCACTATTTATTCTAAGGAAGTTAATCATATTTTATTCATATTTTCTGTGTGCACATTTTAGATTAGCTAACAAAACTATTTTTGATGATATAGTATGTATATATATATATATATATATATATATATATATATATATATATATATATATATAGCCTATAAGGTTGCAAAAATTATACATCTTTATTCAACTTACTCATCCAGTGAAAACATCACGAAAAACAACAAATCATTTTCAGACTGGCAAGAGTTAAAATTTTGCCCATTCATCATTTTGCGGTGGAAATACCTGAGGCCAGTGAAAGAGAGAATGCCAGAATCCGTCTTTGGGTTGTCATGCTGCCTGATGCTGCAGGAGAGCAGTTGAAACAAACAACCCACCACATGGCTTATATATGCAGTGTCAATCCTAAAAGAAATGGCACCGCCCCGCCCGCACTCATTCACACAATATACTAGGATACTTGAAATAGAAAGAAAATAAAATTAAACATTGAACTTGACATATTCATTTAAAACCCAATGTGATCTGCCAGAAATAAGAACAACCTGTAAATATTTGAGTCACCCACCACACATGGGTAAAATATAAAGTGTATTTTTTTCAAATTAACCAGACAATGCTTTTCCTGTTAAGAGTGTCACGGTGTGGTTCACTTCCTGTTGTATTTTGTAGTTTTCTGCCACTCGTGTCCCCGGGTAACTTCACTTCCTGCCTTGTCCCGTCATCCCCTGTGATCGTTTAATAGTTTCCACCTGTGTCCAATCACCTGCACCTCCCTTGTGTATTTAAGCCGTGCGTCTCTTGTGTCACTTGTTGCGTCATTGTCTTTTGTCGTGGATGTTCGTAGTTTCCTGCCTGCTGTTTAGATTATACATGGAGCGGCAAATTGAGTTAAAATGCTTCTTTGCTTAAATCATTGAAGCGTAAAAGACTAATTGCTGATGAACGCATCGGTATGCCGCGTTTAAGCTGAGATCTATAATACAAACCCGCCTGTAAATTTAAATATTGAGTTGCAATTTGGCTTGTGTAGTTAGGACTAGACTACTGTATGAAACCAAACTGTAACTATATAAATGTAACTGCAGTAACTGGGTGTTGATTTATGGTCAAACTAAATTAAAATAATTTATTAAGTATTTAAAGATGCTACATATAGCTGCAAACTAATACAGAATAACTTGAACGCATTTGTCTATACTTATAGATATATATCTTTGTTAACGCGCTAATCTATGCAATTAATGTGGCAGAGATTAATGCCATAAAATATCTCAACGCATTAAACGCAACTTTGTTCACTTCCAATGTGCGTTGACCACTGACACGAAACCACTGTGTGCCTGCAGTCAGTTAGATCGGAGAGACCGAGACGGTAGTTGAAGATGGAGACAGATTTTTGCATTGGGAAAAAATCAAATCAAAGGTGGTGCAAAGAGGTGCGACATACAGCGGAGAACTCTGCGGAGGAGTTCCTTGAATTGTCAAACAGAAGGGGGATCAGTGGCAAACGGACCACTTTAGGACTGATAGTGCCCCAAACATGTTGGTAGCTGCTAGGCTACTTCCATCTCAACATCTACCCTGCCCGGCACACAGCCCCCCAGGGGTGCGTCAGTACATGCAGTACTGGTAACAATTACATGGTAACGTTTCCTGATGATACGGCCATTCTGGATGTCGTGTCTGATATGGGGCGCTGTTTGTAACATGTTGCACACTCTAAAATCCTGCGCAGTTTTGGTACATTTAGCATTATCATATGGAAAAAAGGACGACAATATTCATATGTCACTTTTTCAAACATTTAGAGAGAAGTTCATGTAAATTTATGCAATAACCTTTCCAAAGATACTGTTTGACCGTAATGCAAAGTTATTAAATAATATAAATATTTCATCTAAATTTAAATGTTAAATATGAATATAAATGTTAAATGTAAAAAAAAATGTTAATTGTAAATGTTAAATGTTATATATAAAGGTTACATGTAAATATAAATGGAAATGTTAAATGTAAATATAAATGTTAAATATAAATGGAAATGGTAAATATTCAGTCTAAACATGAGACTTGACGACTGAACCTTACAATATTTACAGTAATTCACGCTGCAGCAAGATTAGATGGCAAATCCGAATGAATTCGCTCTCGTTATGGAGCAGGGGTGTCGCACTCATGTTAGGTAGGGGGCTGCATACTGTTAAACCATGCAACGCAGATTTTATTATTCTACCAACACACTAGAATACAGGTGTGGTCTCCGACAGGCAGTGTGAAATGTTCTGTTGGATAAATTTCTCAAAAGCTGACTCTGTATGTCTTCAAGACAAATTTACTATTAAAACTATCTATATAAATTTGTGTAGTTTTGTGTTTAATAAAATAACTATTTAATACTCATTCTTTCAAATAATTACAAATGTCAAATTCATTATTTTATTTTTTTAATCTATCGACAGCCCTGTTGGGGACTGCAGAGGACTGAATTTACGGGCCCAGGTAAGGGAGAGGGGCATAACGCTGGTGACAGGTGGAGGTTAAAAGGGATCAGGAAGTAAATGTTTGGGATGAGTTGTTGGATGGGAATAAACAGCCACACGGTGCAGCCAAAAGGATTTTTCACCTCTTGTATGTATGCACCAAAAACTGTGATATGATGGAATGGAAAAATAAACCATTGTGCTCAGCTGACTTTTAACCGGAATTACTACTTGTTATAACTCATCGGGAAGTACAGAAAGTTCTGTCAGTACAACATTTAAAAAATATTTGATAATTTACTCAAAAAAAGTTCTGCCTGTTTCTACTTTCTCAAAGAAACAACATGTTATTCAACACAGAGTGTACTGTACAAGGGCGTAACGATGGTTTAGACATTGGCGGGGACCGCTGGATGTTACGGCCGGCGGGGTGCGCAGACAAACTGCTTCTGTCATGTCCAGAAAAAGATGTTAGTTAGGTTGTCTCGTGTCCGTCTCGTGAGTTCCTGTTTTATTTTGGAAAATGAACCTTCCCCTTGTTTCAGGCAACTTTCCCCTTCCTCTTGTGTCGGTGTGATTGCCGCCCCTCCCCTGATTGTCTCCACCTGTGCACTTCCCCTATGTGTGTGTATATATTGTCTGAGTCTCCCTCTGTCCTGTGCCAGTTCGTCTTGTCCCAAGCCACCGTGCCAGCGCTACGTATGTCCACAGTCTTGCCTCGTTTTTTGTCGACACCTTAATTGAGCCTGCTTTCAGTTTTTGTCTCTAGATCGGTTTTTTCCTCGCCCACGAGTGATTTTTATTTCAGCGGCCATGCCCTGTCCTTTTGTTAATAAACTTTGATTCTTTTTTCGCACCACGTTGTGTGAGTCGTGCATTTGGGTTCCCGTCCACCGTCCGGTCGTGACAGCTTCAACCTGTGTACGTAGCCCTATGGTGAAGTGGGTTGTGTCCTAAAATGATTGTGTTTTTGTTGTTGTTTGTTCTCATGGTATGGGGTGTAATTAATGTTTTAATGTTTGAAAATTTGTATTGGTTGGGAGGTGGGATAGTGTAATGGTAAAATATGTTATAACATTGTTTTGTGCTAAAGCCGTGTCTCAAGTGTCCTGTATTTGACCCTGATGTGCAAAGAGCAGTATGATACAAAATGATAGTTTGCAGCTGTGCTCTGAGAAGGGAGGACGGTCGACTCGATCTCATAGAAGTTTCAAAGCAAAGGACTCCTCTTCATGGCCTTGGTTGATATCTTATTCTGCACGAAAGTTCTGGATCCAAGTTTTACTTTTATGTCAAGTAACAATGATTTGCAGCGGCCATTGAGGAGGATCTTGTGTGTGTGTGCTACCCTCAGCTTCACGTGGGTTCTTATCTCAACCTGCTTTGCAGCTTCTCGTAGCTGGCACGGAGAATGTTCTTCACATGTGTATAAAAACTCAGCGTCTTTAGTGCTCGGAGACGCCATTTCCACAGAGCACCGTGATACGTGCCTGTGTATTTGACCTCCTGCTTGCAAGCAATAAATGGACTTTTTGCAACTTTGATCATTCATCAAGACTCTGTTTTATCAGACAAATCATTCTCTTCTACCGAGCTTTTATTGAAATATTCCACAACAATAGTCCAATCAGATGTAAGGAAAAAGGGGGGAGCAGGCCTGGAGGAGAGAGGAAGAAAAAAGAAAGTGGGATAGGGGATTAAACAGAGGAACGGCCAGTGACTCTGACGATTAGTCTATAGTTAGGGATATTTTCACGCGTTTTTTTGGTTAATGACGGAACTCGGAAAGAGTCCCGGGAGAGGAAAAATAAACAACGTCAAGAGCGAGTTCAAGGGGAGCTTACCGAAGCTCTGTAAGGATCGAGGAAAGAGACATTCATAAGCATCACCGCTTTTCCTTCACCACTCGTGATGTGTCGTTCATTTTGAACAAATCCTTACAAGGACTCAGGAGTAACAAGAAGAGAGATTTGTTAATCTTCTCGTGGCCGTGCATTGGGACTGTTGGATAGGCTCAGTCAAGGAAACAGAAATGATTCCTTTAAGAGCAGGACGTACATGGTGGGTATGGCCGAGCGAGAGAGTGGTGAACAGTGATGGGAAGTTGGGCACATTTTACTGACTCGGTTCTTTGATTCCCATTCAGTAAAATGAACATATATTTTTTTGAGTGATTCGGTCATTTCAACGGGGGAGGGAGGGAAGTGTTGCTTAACATTTTATAGTCAATTCCTTGGCCTAATTACGTTCACTGCAAACACATGTTAGAGCACTGGGCAGAAATCACATTGCGTCAACACCCGCCGCGCAATGCTGTGTTTTAATTAAACAGTCAGGCCCAAATGCACAAGTTAATAAGAGTGAAAAAAAGGTGGCTCACCCCAGGCGCCTGAATCAAATCATAAGATATCCTGAGTGTGAACTCATAAACTCATGGTTTTTCTTTTACTCTTTGAAATATTTTCATACCTTGCTGTTGTAGATAAACATTGATTATATTCTAACCATCACTATTTGGAAACATACTTGAAAATTCTGAATGTCATATTTGAATCATTAATGTTGCAGGAGACAACTATTTGCTGTGTAGCCGTCACCCAATGTGGAAAAAATAGAAAAGCTTTTTCAAATATCGTCTTTATTAAAAAAATAAACCGAGCACTGGATTTACAGACAAAAGATAGTTATTTTTCCCACACAACACAAGAAAAACAGTGAAAACTGGCATGTTGGTTTATAAACTGTGTGATGTGGTCGTCGTGGCGCAGGGGTTAGAGAAGGTGTGCTGGGAAGCACAAGGTTGTTGGTTCGATTCCAGGCTGCCCCATGTTCCACGTCGAAGTGTCCCTGAGCAAGACACCTAACCCCTAATTGCTCCCCAGGCAAAAATGTGAAAAAGCCATGGGTTTAAAGTGTAATGTAAGTCGCTTTGGATAAAAGCGTCTGCTAAATGACCTGT